TTGTATATACAATACCCCAACATTGTTTAGGGTATATACGACTATAAATTATTAGGCTTAGAAATGTTTCATATATATGTGACACTTTTTGTGAGGCTGAAGAGATTTTCCGGTTTGTTTCCACAAAGATGTTTTATCAAATAGTTTTTAAAATCCGTTTCGCTTTTACTTTCTCCCTTATATTCCGCCCATTGTGGTGAATTATCCAAAGTCCTGTCATAGTAATGTATATTCTCATGTCAAGGAAAGTTGAGTGAGGCTAGAGAATTTGTTCGGCATGTTTTCACAAAGATTCTTTATTTACTCAACTTATAATAAATGTTAAGCTATTATTATTTCCCTTAATTTCCGCCCCTTGTGGTGAATTAACGAAAGTCTTCATTCATTCATTTATTTTTTACGAAACCTAATTGGAAAATAAAGTTTTCTAGCTGTTTAGGTTAAATGTTCAAAAAGTCATCTAATAAATAAATCAGTCTGGAAACAGTTTTATATATGTACTACTTATGCGCATTTCTAGGGCATTTCAAGTTCGGCTTTCCTGTTTGCACATCAGTTGCCGTCTTGAGTGCCCAACTCATATGTATTTGCGTATAGCCAAACGGAATTTCACCATGATTGAGTGCGCATCGGGTGTGCATTGGAACGTTAATTTGTGTATGCTAAAACAGGGGAGAGCATCAGATAACCCAAGCGTTTGAATGGGAAAAGCAAAGGCAAGGCCAGGTAATTATGTTGATATACAGCTCTCCGGGAACTTGCTTTCGGCTTCCCTAACTAATTATCCAATACTTGTAATGCCTGTAAATAATGTCAAGCAGCTAAAAAGTTCTTTGTTCCAGTTTCGCTATTCCCTCTTTTTCATACATTCATCGATTCATCAATTTCTAGCCCCACTTCCTTTAAGTCTCGAACGATGTGGTGTATGTGCTTAGTGGTTCAATAAAACTTTCACTCAAGTGCGGCTCATCCTCGGCGTGAAGCGTTAAGCATATTTACACGCTAACTTGGCTGGCACTTTGGCTAAGTAAGTTCTCAAATTGACACAGTTTTTTTTTTCTTTTTTTTTTTTTTTTGATTTTGGGCGAACAAAGGAAAGTCATTAGAGATTGATGCACAAAAGGAATTTTCTGGCTACATGCTTTCCGCATTATTGAAAACTTACCCGTAAGCGCAGTAATTAACAATGCCGGCAACAACAACAACAACAACAACAACAACAACAACAACAACAACAACAGCAACAACAACAACAACAATGAGAGGCAGTTGCAATTTTTGATGCAGCTGCCAACAAAGTGGATTTTATGCCAACGGGACTTGAGGCGCATGCAAGTTTTATGCAAATGGCATGTTGAGTCCCGAAATCGGACAAAAAAAAAAAAGACATGTAAGAGTGCGTTGGTTCAGTGCGACAGACTAGCTAATACCCTATACCCAATTTCGAGCTCTTGCAGCAAAACTTTGACCTGTGTTGTTTCTTTCTTCAAGCTCACAACCATTAGAAATTTATTTAATTTTAGAAATTTAGGGCCTTAATATTATATTTCAATGTGTATTCATACCAAAAAGTTGGAAGATCTTTGAATCTTAAAAACGATATATATCGATCTTAGAAAAACTCACAGAAACAGACGGAAAAGCATGACTAGATCAGCTACTGCTACTGCGACAAGCATTTGCACTAAACCATCCCAACCGGTTTTTTTTTTTCTTTCTTCACGTTGTACAGGGTATCAAAAAGGATAAATTACTTTTAAAGTGCGCAGGCAATGTGAGCAGGCTCTGGCAAGCAGGCAGGCAGGCGAAGGCCAGGCTCGGCGAACTTGCCTTTGGAGCTAACTCTACATTGGCCCGAATGCAAATTGGCTTTGGAGCGTTTGCCTATTTTTGGCACTCTGATGACTTTCTGATTTGCTTACGAAACAAGTTTTTTGTGTTTTTTATTCCTTCTATTTTTTTTTTCTGGCCACTGCAAGTTTCGTGTGTTTTTAGGCGCTTTTTGTTAGCCGGCTTGTTTATTATTTGTTAATTGAAATGTTGCAAAAAGTTACGCATGTGCCTGATGAGCAGGGTGCGGCAGAGCGTTGCAAGTGGCAAGTGGCAAGTAGCCTGATTGGAGGCTGCACTGCCACGCTTCCCCTCTCAGCTAATGTCTAAATCATTGCAAAACACAAAAAACAAAAGGGGAAAAATGTTCCCGGCTTAACTCACAAACGAGCTGAAACAAGGCGCAATAACTAGACGAAAAAAAGTTAACAACAGAAGCCGTGTCATGAATACCCTATAAAATCTCTTGCTGCTGTTAAATGTTATCAAACAAACACATTTTTGCCAATTCTTAAGGCAGATTTTTCTGAGAAGAACTGAGTTTATCTATTGAAAATCCCAACTTTTCTTTGTGATTTCCACTTTTTATTTTTAATTACAGACCAGGTTCGTCTTTTGTTTAAGGAAAGCCAATTCGGCGTAAGGTTCGGCTCATAGTTAACAAATAACTTTAAGATTTATAATATATTTAAAAAATGTATATATATAATGAGGCCTGAATTCCAATCCTCTTTAAGACATGAACCGAACATTAAATCCGGATTATTTAGCTAAAGAAGAAGCGAACATTAAACGGAATGGACTTCATGTCTTTCATTGATCCAGTGCACTAAAATCCACTTATTTACAAGAAAAACAATGTGTCAATATGAATATATTATTTATGACAGAGAAAATTAAAAGGCCAAGGCTCAAAACCCAACCTGACTAAGTAGATGTTGATATTGTTTGGGCTTGCAGCCATGTTTAACACAATTTGTTGCCAAAGCTAATATGCCCTTTTGCCAGCGTATCGCAAAGTTATGAAAAACAAACAAACAGTCCAAGTTATTAGACGAGTTCAGATTTAGTGCTGAGGTTAACATTTTGCCTAGGTGTGGCACGTAGCACGCTTTGCGAGTCCACAAATAGCGCAGAGGGCAGCACAAAAAGGAAATCAAAGAGACTGCCGCATGTGGTGTGTGTAGTATGTGTGTGTGTGTGAATCTGTGTGTGTGTCCAGACTGGGCTGCCTCTTGAGTTTTGCTGTGGGTTTTGTGCTGTTTTGGTTTGTGCAACTATTTTCTATTCATTTATGCATTTTGGCAATAAAAATTTCATTTTTTGCTTAACTAAGTGAAACGAAAAGGTTAAAAGCAGCACCGCAACGAGAAGGAGATACAGCTGGAGCCGGAGCTGAACTCTCCGGAGGGCAGGACATCGTCTCTGGCACTGAAAGCGACTTTTATCTTGGGCGCCCGGCTCTTTGGCCCAGAGTTCGTTCCGGCTGTCTCTTCTGTCTGTCTCTCTTCCATTGCCTAGATAACGTTTCCGTCTGCCTGCTTGCTTTTTGTGTAGTTTATTTTTTTGTAGTTCCTGTTTGTTGTTTGCAAACATTTTTTAAATTGTTTGCTGTAATTTGTTTCCGGCCAAAACGGCAAATGGCCGCTGCGCCATTTTGTGGAGCCCATCGCAAACCGCACAATGTCGGCGCTTTGTTCGTTTTATTATTATTATTAAAAAATTATAATTTAAATGTTCATCTGCCTTTTTACATATCGTTTCAAGTTGGTGCTTTATTTTTTATTATTTTACTGGCACGTTTCGCCCCTTTCGGGCAACAGCTGCTGCCGTATCCAGCCTGATCCCGATCCCGGCTCCAATTAGTTGTGTAATGCGTCTCTCTGCCTGTCCTTCGGACATTTATTAGTTTGAATTTTTGCCCACGATTTATGGGTTCGCCAAAAAAAACTCTATGCAAATATTATTTTGCAGATGTTTCATTTTATTTCCATTTGTCGAAAAAAAAGAAGTTCTAAAAATATTTGACATCAAATTTATCTTATTTTCATTCGATATTTGCGCGCTTTGCCCATGATTTTTGCTGCTCAATTATTTACGCTTATTGCAAATTGCATAAATAAAAGTTTGCTCCCGAATTGAAAATTAAGTGACATGAAATGCATAATTGAGTGCACTTTCATATCAATTTAATACCAAACATGTCAGCATGAAGAAAGTTCAATTGATATTTATGTCTTGTGAATATTATTTTTCTGTTTATTTATATTAAGTCCTTTGTTTTATTAAACTGCTTGCTATTCTTTCACATAATTTTTTTACTGCCAAAGGGCAATTGTCTACAAGGCTATGAAATCTCTTTATTTTTCGATTTATTTTAAATTATATTTTTGTCGTGTCTCTGAGCACTTTCAAAAAACTTCCTCAATTGCTCAGAATATTATTGAAATGTAAACTTTAAAGGAATTAGTTTTTTTTTTTTTTTTTGCTACATTCTACCAAATGTTGACGTCGCTTGCGCCTCATCAATGGGCAAATAAAAGTTTGTTATGCCGCAGCGGCCTGCCACGTGCTGCATTCGAAACCGTTCGACAGTCACGTAGCCTGTCTGGCAGCTAGAAATTAAAACCAAGTTAAACATTAAACATTGCATCGCATTGCAAAATATTTGAATTCAAATTCAAACTGTAGCGATTCGTTAAATGAATCATGAAATTGCAAAACTTTTTGATTTAGTTAATAGTGAAAGTATGTTAGACGCGTTAAGGAATTTGAAATGACTGTGAATAGCTAAACAAATATAATAAGGTTAAAATCAATAAATATTATAAATCTATATTTAGTATATTCTGGAGACGGATTCCGCTGTCTTTCTCTGCCTGCCTGTTTGATCCTAAGTCTGTCTGATCTCATAAAATATAAAAACTAGAGACTTGAAATTTGAAATATAAGCAAAACGAAAGGCAGCTGTTTGCAGGGTGTCTTTCAGTCAAGCACATCCGACCGTGTCTTAAAGCAATTTTGGATTTTGTCTCTGCCGTCAGCTACTTATCAACTAGAACTCGACTCTGTCAAACTGACGCAGTTTGGGCCGCACACGTCAGCAAAATCCAATTCGACCAGACTTAATAAGACTCCCGCTCCCGAGTCTCTAACTTATAGTCACGTAGTTGTCTGCGGCAGAGCGCAGTTTGTGTTCAAGCTTCGGTTCGTACAAACGCGATTTTAATTGCTGCATAAATTTGCGAAGCAAGAATAGATAGAAAATCAATTTGAATAGTGCAAGCAAATTTGGGGAAAATATCCATTAAAAATGCAGTTAGCCCTGCCTGCTGCTTGCTTCCAGCTCTTGCTGCTCAGCTGCCTTTGGCATGGCCATCGGCTGGAATTTGTGCAGATCCCCGAACAACAATTGGAGCACAATGAACTGCTGGCACTGCTCGAGGATGACTTGGATTTGTCGCAGGTGAACTGGCGAGCGATGATACCGCTGCTGCTGCAACGTCAGCAGGTGCGTCTGTGTGTCGCCGTCTACCGTTACGAGCCGCAGCTGGTGGCGGGCACGTCCTGTGAGGCGCTGCTGAGCAACGGCCTGATGGCGTACTGCGACATTGGACATGTCGAGGATCTGAGCATGACAATGCGCGCTGCGTTCGGCGGCATGCTTTTCGATACGCTGCAGCAATGCCGTCCGGGTCTGGAAATCTTTGGAGTACGTTGCCGGCGACGTGCCTGAACGAGATTAAGGCCAAAAACGAAGCGCTTAAGTGAATTGCTAATTCAGTTTTCTTGCCACTGCTCATCATCAGTCGTGACTGCCGCCGTCCATCTACATCTCTATCTCCATCTCTGTCTTCGTGTCCCTTGTCATTTCAATGTGTCAATAAAAATGCGATGTGGGTGAAGGCCTGTCCCGGGCACATACACACACACACACACACACAGGCAGGCAGACAGGGCGCTGAGCCGAGATACGGCCACACCCTGAGTCCTTGCTGAGCAGCATCATGACAAATGACGATTATAATTTGTAAAATTTGCGCCCTGCTTGTTATCCCGCAGCTGGTGGGCGGTGGGTGGCGGGTTGTGGGCGGGTACAGCTTTCAGTGGCAGCGCTCTGGCCATGTTTGGCTCTGGCCTAGTTCTCTTTTGCCTTCAGATTTAGTTAGTGCATTGCAATTGTTGTTGCAATTAGCAGAGACAGCAATGTTGTAGGGTATCACGACGAAGGGGGCGGGGAAACATAAGCACTATGGGCAGCTGAAAAACTGATGGCTTGATTTTTCCATTAAACACTGCAAATGGAAAATTGCAACTGAAACAGCGCAGACAGCAGAAGGCAAAGGCATTTGTTGTGCTTGCTTGTTCGGTGTTGTTGCTCTTATACCCTGCACCCATTGCGAATGGGTATAATGATTTTATGGCAATGCATGTAACAGGCAAATTTAGGCAGCTGCGACTCTATGAATTATGTACGTGCATTAAGAGCCAAGGCTTTCGACGTTTATCAGGGAAAGTAACTAAGCTCCCCTATGTATATATTCTCCTATAAATAGTTTTCTATATATAGTCTCCTATAAATATTCTCCTATATAGGCAAATATATACATAAATACAGCTTCTCTCTCTCTGAAATCTCTTCACAAGCACCGAAGATAATCAAGAATTCATTTCCCCCTTACATATCCGGGTGTATAGAGAAGAAGAAGTAGACCGAGCTGCATAAAATGCGTACGTGTTTCCTTTGCATATGTATTTGTATATGTGTCTGTGTGTGTATTTGAAAAAGGTAGCCAAAATGCGTTTAGGGTATTTTCCGGGAGGACATTCCCGACTGCAGCATTCGTACGTATACGTGTTTGTTGTTGTTGTTGTTCTTGTTGGCAATTACCGGGCAATGGGCGAGGCATTTAGCTTGGAATAATGGCCATCATGAGTTTTCATTTTCACTGCTTGTTGTTATTGTTATTTTCTGCTTAATTTGTGTGCTGATGTGCTAAAACACCTTCTGCATCAATCTCTATATAAATCAAAAACGTTGCAGCATACTTTTTGGCTCAGCTGCAAAATGTGTGCCCCGCCCCGACCAAAAACCCTAGCCGCTCTATGCAAAATGCAGTAGGAAATTGCTTAAAATGATTGCATGAGCTTGTCAGTCTGAGTGTGTGTGTATGTGTGTGTGTGTCTGCATTTGCGTGTGTGTGTGTAATCAATATCAATAAATGCTTGTTGAAATTTGGGTCTCAATTATATCAGAGTTCGAAATGGGAATGCTTTGTCTCTAGTGTAAATTTGGACCGTACGCTTTTCACAGTTCAATTTGACAATATTTTGATTAAGCAAATATTTTGATTTTAACATAGCTTAAAGGAAATGTTTTAGTTTTTTAAGAGAATTCGAAAAGCTAATAATAAAAACTAATACGATTTCTCGAACCACAACTGTTAGTTTTAGCTCCATAAGAGACCGTGAAAAACTATATATATAAATTGTTTAAATTCGTTCAACATATTTTATAATTTGGCAAAATTAGTTCTGGTAGAAATTCTATGAAAATTGTACCCTCAAATATATTATTTAGACATAGGTCAAAATATTCCATATAGGCAAAGGACGAAACTTGCCTCTTCCATGTCTCGGTCAAATCTCATCCGATTTTCTTTAGGTTTGTCTTTTTCTTTATAAGTGTTTTGTTTACTAGAGAGTTTACGAAATAACTAAAATAGCCCGTCTTCAAGAAAGTTCGATTCCTTGCTTCTCAGCTGGGTAATTCGCAACGCATCTCAAAGTTGATTGCAATTTGATGGCTCCGCACTCAAATTTACATTGCCTGATTGTTTTGCAGGTTGTTTTCGCAGATGCCAAATGCGTTTGAAGCAGTGCGAAAGTCTAGAACTCTTGTAATGTAAATTAATGAATTGTATAAAGCGCTTGGAATATTTACGCTCAAAGCAAACGCAAGATGGTGTGGGATTGGGTTGAGTAGTGGGACTGACCAATGAATATGCAAACGACTTTTGCCCATCGGGCTGCTCTTGAAGTTCGTTAAAAGCGCGCCATAAGGTCAAAGGGCGGGCCGCGACGAAGGGTCATTAAGGCAGCGCATTGGCCGCTCTGTTTGCACAACTGCTGCAGCAGCAACAACAATGGCTTCGACTGCTGCTACTGCTGCTGCTGCTTCTACTGCAGCTACTGTTAATGTGCAGCCTCGCCTCCTGAAATATGCATAAACAAACCAAACTGAACTACACTCGGGTCTCGGCCACTTCTCTGATGCGCGACGCGGCAGGTCCTGTCTTCGAATGCAGTTTCGCTAGAGTTCAGTTGAGCTCTGCCAGTAATTAAATTTTACGCGAAATTCTTTGCATTTGCTTCTTTGATTTCGCAATGGCCTTCGAGCCATGTTACCCTCTCCTCTCTTACACTGTCTTGTATTTGCATTAGGAATAGCGAAAAGTCTATTAACTTCCACTCGGCATTGGCCATAATTTATGCAGCCTTGCTTTCGGCACTCGTAGCGTGACAATTCCTTCAGGGCTGCAAATCGATTTGAAAATGTTTCGAAAGTCTGAGCCTCCAGCGTTACAATAAATTTGTTAAAGTCTGTTCAAATTGACATATAGAATGTTTTTTAATTTGCCAAATATATGATGTTGATTTTTTTAAAATTAATCTTAATATTTCTTAGCATTTTGTTAAGCTCTTTTAATATTGATTCTGCCTTAAATCAATTTTCTTATCAGTTTATTAATTATCTTTAATATTTCCTTAAGTTTCTTGCCTTTAAAATTGATTCTAGCATTAATTTTCTAATCCATTAAATTCGCCTTGAGATCTTGTGCCAGCCCTGTTAAAATTACTTCAAGTGCCAGAATTATTGGAATGCTTTGCTCTGTCAACTCTTTGCCCTGTGTGCTCTTGTTAGTCTTGCAGAAATTCAGATAACAAACGGGCCCAGGCAAATTGATTGCATTATCGAGCCAAAGACAATAGAACGAAGCAGAATGTTGGGGTCGGGGCGACATATAAAATTGAGCATGGCAACAAACTTAAGTGCCATATGAGAGAGATATGCGAGTGCTTCAAGGCTCATTTATGGCCACTGCGTGCTGGTCAGTTTTATGCATTTTCCCAGAGAGGGCTGCCAGGGATTGGTAGGGTGGGGGGCAGGATAGGGGGTAGGTTAAGGCGAAGCGTTGTCAGGCATTTTGGCACGTTGTTTACTTTGTGTATAAACCGAGTGGCACTTACTTATTTTGTGCCACATAATGAGCACTCCTGATGGCCGCTTATAAATTATATAACCCACAAAAGCACACTCGCACACACACTCGCACACACTCTTAAATAAATTCTCCGCACACACCCACGCAATTTGATTTGTATGGCTTTTCAATTTGTGCTCTGCTGCTTTCTGCTCTCTTTTTTTTTTTTTGTGTATTTTCCTTTTCGTTTTAATTTTTTTTGCCTGTTTTTCTTTTGCTTTTCTTGATTTCCTTTTCGTTTTGTGTGTGTGTGTGTGTGTGTGTTGCCTGTGCTGCATTTGCCATTGTATAAATTTTTGGTATTTGCGCCAATTTCATTCCAAATTGAGCGCTGGCCACAGTCGTTTATTTTTAATGCACCCGGCAACGAAACCAGCCAAGCAAACTGCCAGCCAGCGGGTCGGACAGAGGCACAACCTGAGCGCACAAAAGTGGTACAACTAGAATCCTAGATTCCGGCTCTTACTTTCGCTTTGGATATGGAAAAAGAGTGTATTATTATTTTTAGAGCAAACCAAGGGGCTAACTGCGCTTTAAGTGATGACAATTTTCATTATTCGAATTTAATTTGTTCGAAAATAGTTGCAAGTCAATATAATACAAGCTATATATATAGTTTGCGGTCAGATTTAAGCTGTGCTACATATGTGATGTCAGACATTTAGGCAAGGAGAATGCTGGTTCGAATCTTAGGCTCCTGCTTTTATGTAAGCCTTTCACAAATAGATATCCATTATCTAGTCAGACATCAATAAAAGAAATGTTATTTAATATGGAAATAGTTTGAAAACTCTTAAGAAAGAACGCTCAGGAAAAGTAAAGTTAATTCTTAACATCTACACCCACAGTCTTTGCTTAGGACAATAAACATAGCTTAAAGCGTTTCTGAACTCATTTTTAAAGCATTTTCTTTTAAGACTCCCTGCTGACCCTCAATCCTCGTGAGCCGTACAAATTTCGCATATGCCGGATTGCTGTAAGCCTTTTATATTTGAAAGTTTGTTGAAATTGATTCGGTTTCAAAGTTTATATATATATGTCTTTTATTTTTTTTTTGGTAGAGCACCCCATGCGGTAATCTGTTAGAAAGTGTTGCCAGGGGATAGAGCATAAATATGTCGCTGCGCCGGATGCTTCTCATACCAAGCTGCTTCTCTTCTAGCATTTTTCTTGCCATTTCTATTTGTTTTTTTCTCCCTCCCTTTTTTTTTTTTTGTTGCTCCTCGTAGTGCATTTTGGACATGCTGCCGGTGCATGCCAAACACTTGCAGGACACTCAGGCGATTGCAGCTGCCATCGAAGGTGGCCTTGAGTATGCCTGGGTGGGGTAGGTGGTGGCGGAGGGCCAGGAAACGAAGTGCGCTCAAGATTTATGGCTTATGCCTGGGGCTTTGTTTGGTAGGATAGAGAGGGGGGAGGGGGGTGGGGAGCTGGCCATCAAATACAATCAATTTGATTGCCTTTTATATAGTTTTTCTTTTCAGCCTGAGCTGAGAGTGTAATGCGATTTTGATTTTTTATTAAGCTACAATTAGGCAATTAGCTGAAGTGCGCAGAACTGTGCTTTAAGTTTGAAAAGTTGTGCGGGAAATTGTGGCTGCGCCGCATAAATAAAGCGTTCAATATCCGGCGACGGAAGTTTCAATAAGCCAAAGGATATGAGCTCAAATGACTGGCCAGAAAAACCGAAAAACGTTGCAACTTCTGCGAACTATTCATGTGTGTACGTGTGTGTGTGTGTGAGTGTGTGTGTGTGCTGTGTGCGTGATTTTGAGCGTGTGTGTGTCTGGAGCAAGTTTAAATTAGTTGCTCGTCGGCCATTTTGCATAAATCATTTCCTGTTTTGTGCCAAAGATAAAAGCAAGCAAAAGACGCCGACCAATTCAACGAAAACAACAAAAAAAAAAATACAAAATAAAATACAAGGACAAAAAGCGAATAACATGACGACAAAGTCAAAGTGAGGGAATCAGCAACAATAACATAAAATTAGCATTTTTTATTACTTTTAGTTTATTTTTATTATTTGCTGGCTTTTGGCCCCAGCATTTGCATAAGTTTACAAAAAAGGGCGACTAAGTAAAAATCACGCATACGCCATGTATGCCGCACTCCAGCCGCAATGTACATCATCTAGTTATATAGGTTGCTTATATTTGTAATTGTACTTTCAATGTGCACAAACTTTTCTATTTGCAGCTACAGCTCGTTGACAAAACAACACAAAAGTCGTCAAAAGTTTTTGACACAATTCGGCAACCTATTTCATGTCCGGCTGCGCAGCAGAAAATTGAATTTCAGTTTGGTAAGTGAATGGTTAAAGCTTACTTTATTAAACAGATATTTTGTCTGACAAACATTTTCTTAAAAATTACAAAATATTTACGTGTAAAACATTGCCAAATTATATAAATTTAATTTAAATGTTGTTGGCAATTGAAAACACACAAGCTAAATGTGTTCGGATTTTATACAATTGAATAACCTTATAATTATGAAAACTATCTATGGGTTTAATTTTTTGTTTAATATTTTTGCTTAGATTGTCTATCTTTGATAGAAATTTGCCCCGCTTTAAAGTGCACCGAAAATTGCCTGGAAAATAGTTTGTATGCTTCTTAAGAATCTCTTTAGTTTGCAGCAGGACATCAATATCCGAAAGTATGCAACGCTTTAAGGCTTTGTACATAAAAATATTCGTCCCGACACAAATTGAATTTGGCAAATGCGCTGCATTTGCTTCGATTTTCGATTGATTGAGAGAATATAAATGGTCGCTCTTGTCGTTTTGTGTTATGGTTGTTGCTTTTGTGTATATATATAAGATCGTATATGTTTATGGCAAAACAAAGGGGGCAAAGTCAAGAAACTGGTCACATCTGCATATATTTCCATGGCTTGCCAAGAAACACACCTCCCATACCCCCCGCCTCTGCTCTACCGACAACACATGAGCTGAAATAAATTTTATGTACATTTACTTAC